GTGGCACCGGCGGACTGTCCGCACTCTACGGGCGAACACTCCGCCGGTGAAGTTTCTTACCCTTGCTCAAATGTGCCAACCACCAAATGTATCACCTTGTGCACATGTGTGTTGGCATATTTTCACAAATGTTTTCAAGGGTGTTAGCACTCCACTAGATCCTAAATGCATATGCAATGAGTTAGAGCATCTAGTGGCACTTTGATAACTGTATTTTGATACGAGTTTCACCCCTCTTAATAGTATGGCTATCGATTCTAAATGTGATCACACTCACTAAGTGTTTCGATCACCAAAACAAAATGGCTCCTACCATTTATACCTTTGCCTTGAACCTTTTATTTTTCTCTTTCTTCTTTTCAAGTCCAAGCACTTGATCATCACCATGGCATCACCATCATCATGTCATGATCTTCATTTGCTTCACCACTTGGAATGTGCTACCTATCTCATGATCACTTGATAAACTAGGTTAGCACTCTAGGTTTCATCAATTCACCAAAACCAAACTAGAGCTTTCAATCTCTCATCTTGTGCCACCTCTCCCTCTCCCTCTCATGCTGCCTCCGCCCATAGCCTCCACAACGGGCTCTAGGCCAACACAACGGGCTCCAGGCCAACCATAGTTGGCCTCCTAGCCACCCCGTAGCAGCCTCAGACATAACAGGCTCCAGGCCAACCATAGTCGGCCTCCTAGCCACCCCGTAGCAGCCTCGGTCAAGCCCTAGCTGGCTAACCACAACCTAGCACTTCATACACATGACACTTGGTAATTAGAGCCATGTTGTGATACAAGATTTATGTATGCCATTCTTAGACAATCTAGAATATATGAAACATTCATGATCAAAGACTAATGAGACCAAATACTAATAAGACCAACAAGTAGTATTAGCATTTTTCGGGCAACAAAGTTACAACTCACCACAGTGAAAAGAAATAAGTGAATATGAAGCTGAACTACTAATAGAGTTCAAACATTCAAAGAATACCATATTTAGCCATCGATGACACGCATATACGATGTAAGATCTCCTTGAAACCCTACATATAAAAAATAAAAATTAGCAAAATAAATAAAAAAATTCATTCAAACTCATGAGAGAAAAATATTACCATGTTATTAGTTTGGGTTATTACCGACACAATTAAAGTAGCTAACATACCATATACTTCATCATAACATAACCCAAACAATCGGCCATATTTATTGAAGACAGGTGCTTTGACCATATTTATTAAAGACAGGTGCTCCTTCTTTAGTAATGTGATAGAAAAACTTTTTCCGGCATATTGGTCAAAATAATTGAAGAACAATATTAAAACAAGATTAAACAAAAATTATAATGTAAAGACTAGCATTTTAGAATACTTACCTAACAAAACCTGGAACTAAGATATATGTATGTATCATATCGCAAGTGAAGGTTGAAACAACTCACTTGATAAGAGCCTCTCCATGAAAGTTCTTGATTAAACTTGTATCAATACACAAATAGCTCCAATAAAATCACTAAGACTATGAACCATATCATTTGAAACTACCACTTGAGTATTATCTTTAAAAACTATAGTAAAGTCGGTGTTTCGATGAGAATAAGAGTTGTAACCCATAATATATGTTAAATTTAAAAACTATAGTAAAGTCGGTGTTTCCATGAGAACAAGAGTTGTAACCCATAATATATGTTAAATTAGACTTATTGATTGAAAACATTTTAACGGTACTTCTCTTGCAATCGAGATAAAACTTCTGATTATTCATCTTTACAAATCCTGATACATAACGAAGTTAATAAAAAATAAGTGATGCTAACAAAGTTTGCACAAATAATGATCCAAAATTCTTTAAAAATTGCCTTGGTTGCCTCGTTGGTAGACTGGCTGCTGAGGACCTTTGCTGTTTTTGGCTTGGCTACCCCTAATGATGCTGATTTTATTGCTGAGCTTCAGATGGACTAACATTGAAGACCTAGTGATTTTGGCTTTATTGAAGCATCCTCCAATTTTTGTTGTCCCGAGGGGTTGTTTGCTGCACTACGATTGCGAGTGCTACCTGAACTGGTTCTGTTCTTCCATTCTCTTGTGAAGGTCATTGTCTGACCTGCAATATTTCTCGAACTCATTGTAAAGATTTTTGATAGACAAGTGCTTTTCTCTGGCTAGGTGTCCTAAGAAGGGTCCTATGCGAAGGCCCTTTATGGCTGCCTCGGTAGCCACTTCTTCAAGTACATTGGGTGCCCTTGTCTTGAAGTGCACAAATCTTTGGTAGTATTGTTTAAGTGATTCGCTTAATTGTTGCTTGCATTGGAAGAGATCATAAGCTTTAGCGATTCATTTGTGAAACCTTGGAAGTTTGCTATTATTTTGTGCTGGAGGTTCTCCAATGACTACACAGATTTAGGCTTCAGCATCAAGTACCATGCGAGAGCATCTCCTTTCGTGACAATGATGAAGGATTTGACCAAAACTATATCATTGCCCCCTATAGAGGATATTATGGCCTCGTAGCTCATAATGATAGCGTGGGTCTGTTTGACCATTATATTTGGGTAGGGATATGGGTTTGTAGGTGGATGGCCATGGTGATGTTTGCATGCCTTTAGATAGCGGGATTTGTTGTCTATTGGTTTGACCAGGTTGAGTGGTGTTCCGAAGGTTTGCTAAAGTTGTTGATTTAGCTGGAGGTTGGGTTGGTTTGGTTTGGTTCATTTGGTTTTCTGCTTGTAGAATTGTGAGTTGTTGTCTGACTTCAGCTACTTGCTGAGTGACGAGGGCTGCTCTCTGGTTTGCGGTTGAGGCTACAGCCAATCCTATCTCTTTCTTGTTGTGCTCTTTGAAGCTCAGCTCATAGTTGCTAGAGTAGTTGTTCTAGTGTGGGATTAGGGGTTGTTGCACCGCTACTAGGGCTGGCCCTATACCACAAGCTCGATTGGCCCCTCTTCCTTGGCCTCTAGGGTTTGGTGAGGCAGCATAGGTGCTCTGGGTATTGCACCTTGACCTTCCCCATGTGGAGACTTTCCTCTTGGGTGCCATACTGGGTCTTGGAGTGGCCTAGCACGGTGGGCGAAAATATAATGTTGGGATTCAATTTCCTAACTAAGTGTGTTGACGTGCTAGGCTTAGCCAAGCGAAGGTCTCCCCTTCGAATGTCTGGCCTTCGCTCGTCTAAGCGTAGTTACTGAGGCGATGTGTTCTTGGAAACTTAGCCAAATGATCTCTCCCTTTTTTGGAATCTGAGTTCCCTTTTTATAGGGTACGGTTACACATATTTTCTTGTACATAAATGCCCTCTACCCACTATAGAATATGCTGGAGTATTCCCAACTACCTAGAGCACACAATCACGAAGGCTAGAGAAACTTTTATATCCACACCCGCCTTTCTAAATGGGCCCTTGTGGAGCCTTGGTTCAGCTTGTCGGGCCGTCTGGTCCATCGGAAGGGCCTCCGGCCGAGGATCCTCTTAATCTTGGCTCGAAGATCCTCGAGGGAGGGGCCTCCAAAGGTTCCCCAAAAAACTCGTAGTGTCGCGTCTCTGGTGTCGGCCTAAGGCTTCGTCAGGGCCTTCAGTCCTGGAGGCCTCCGAGTGAAGGATTGATCCTCCATACATGTCGAAGGCTCCGTGGGACCTTCGATACTAGCTTCGGTCCCGGAGGCCTCCGAGTGAAGGATTGATCCTCCATACATGCCGAAGGCTCCGTGGGACCTTCGATACTAGCTTTCGGCACAGGCCTTCGAAAACCCCGCAGAGCATCATCGAAGGTTCGCCGAGGCACCTGTATTCGTGAGGTTTGCACATTAGGAGAATTGATACAATTAGTCAACCTCGAGTGTGAGGCTTCGCCCCAGCACATTGTAACATGTCGATATTCGCCCAAAGTTGGAAATTAAATATGACTTAGACGAGGTTTAAGGTAAATGCTTTTGGTTTTGAACTTTTAAAATCCCAAGAACCCTCATGCATGAATTTTACTTTCGAGTGGAAATGTCATGGTTGTGGTTCCCCAGTATCAGAATTCAGGAACGATTGAACATTGAGAGAGAAAAAGATTGTTCATGATGGGACAAAGGCGCAGATGCACGAACAAAGAAAAAAACGATTGGTGGGGGCCAGAGCGTGTTTAACTGCTAGGCAGTAATGACAGGATCACCGAAGAAACACACCACCAGCCTCTTCGTGCTGGGGTGAGGACCTTCGGTCCTAAAAAAATGTCGTTTTTTTAATTTCAGACAACTTTGATCATTCGTCTTATTTAAAATATTTATATAAATATTATCTATTTTATTATGATTTATTTTATCATTAGAGATGCTTTAATAATAATTTATTTATTTTATAATTTATATAAATTTTTTGAATAAGACGAACAGTCAAACATGATGTCTAAAAATAAAAAAAGTCATTCTTTTTTTGTGACGGAGGGGTTATAATATAACAGCAGAATGAAGAAACCAGGTGAGGTGATGATGCGCATGGACATGGACTGGTGGCGTGCACGAGGAAACGGGCCTATAATTTTTGAACGTACTTACCCTCCCCATCACGCCGACAAGTGGGCCCGGCTCTTCTGTACCAGTGTACCCTTTCTTCAACCTCTAGCCGGAATCGGCAAATAAAGTCGGCGTCCCGGTCGCCGGTTGCCAGCTCGTGACCGATCCTCGGCCTCCGCGCCATCTGCACTCTGCTCTGGCAACCCACAACCACCGCTCTCCTCACCACCTCGCCATTATTTCGCTTTATTTCACCTCGCCCGTCCACCCTTATCTCCAAAATCCGACCACTCCACCACAGTTTGCACACACAGACACAGTTCTTGCTCCACCTTTTGGTTCCTCAGCTCCCTCGTCTTGCTCCGCCTCGGCAGCTGCCGCTGCGCAAGGTGAGCTTCGATCCGTTCTTGCTCCACCTTTTGGTTCCGCTTCCGCCCATCATAACGTTTCTTGTAATGTAACCCAGCAGAGACCCCGGATCGGAGTCGGAGACTGAGAGAGGTGGAGATGGCCAACACGCCGCCCAGACAGCAGGATGCTTTCAGCGGCTCCGGCCACTTCTCCGCCCGCTGCCCGGTGAGACATACGCTCTCTTCTTCTTCTCTCACCCGGCCGGCCGGAGATCCAGCTACTAGCAGCCCTGATAGACAGTTGTGTTCAGTGATTTTTTTTAGCAGGTTTTTAGGTCTCTGTTTCTATTCCTAAAAACCTGAGCCAAGACTCTTTTATTTTTCCCCTTATAATAATAAGAGCTCACTAATAATAATATAAAATTTAGGCCAAACATTTTGATGTACTTTTTGAGAAAAAGAAAAATGAATGAACCACCCACACTCTGCAACGGTGTCACCATTTTTAACTAAGCAAGTAAAATCAAGCACTACAACCTTGCAGAGTTTTACAGAAAGTTTGTGCGCCTCCATTTATTTTCCTATCGTATTTGTGCTTTAGCTTTGTGCGTTTATTCCCGTGTCATCCAGTTGCCCTGGCTCGTGAGGACTACAGTGCTGTGGCTACTGCCGTGGCTCTTCAGCACAGTGCAAGTGTGGTTTTGGTCCGTCACCATCACGTTGCTTCAGAGCAGCTACTCAGACGCCATGGCACTGGCTTTATCGTGTGGTCAAGTGCAGAGGATTACCTCGTCCTGACGGCGAATCATGTCATCACACTGGAGGAGCATGAGATGAATGATGAAGTGGAGATTGTGGTCAAAATGCCTGGCAGTGGCGACTACCTTCCTGCTACCCTGCTTCGAAGCGATACATCCCGTGATATCGCGCTCCTTCGGGTTACTAACAATGATGATAAGAGTAAGATAGCACGCCGGCCCCTCACCTTTGATGACCGACTTCCCCCACCCGTGGGGACGGTTGTGGTGCTACTGGGTTACTTCGCTCCAGATGGTGATGGTCAGGGTCAAGTTCTCGTGTGGCCTGATGTCCCTGGATCATCTCCTGGCAAAATCGTGTAAGGATGATATAGACTGATTTTCTTTTTTTGTTACACTCCATGCATTGGCAGTAACTTGATAACATCTACGTTTAAATCTAGGGCACATCGGATGTCACATAGGGGTGTCACGTCGAGTATTCCGATAGTAATAATAAAATAAATTACAGAAGTCCTCAGTAATCGCGAGACAAATTTATTAAGCCTGATTAATCCATCATTAGCACATGTTTACTGTAGCACCACATTGTCAAATTATGCACTAGTTAGGCTTAAAAAATTCGTCTCGCAAATTAGTCTCAATCTGTGCATTTAGTTTCGTAATTAGACTATATTTAATACTTTATGCATGTGTCCAAACATCTGATGTGATAGGATTAAAGTTTAAAGTTTAGGAGCAGGAAACAAACACAGCCTGACTATTATGACGACCGTGTGTGTGCTGTTTTTAATTGTTGCATGCATGCCTGCAGTTCAGATGCCTTTGAAAGTGTTGCCGAGGATGAGACTTTTATGGATATTGATAAAGGGTTTGATGAGAAGATCAAGGCAAACTGTCCTTCAATTGAAGGTTGTTCAGGGTCACCGGCCACTAATAGCGGAGCACAAGGTTGTGGGTTTGCTTACTAGTGCTGTACATAGCGTTGACGTGTACCGTACTGTTCCAACTCTGAAAGCGGTCTTCCAACTTTGGCTTCTCGTCGAAGAGACGGTAAGTGTGCAAAAATTAGTGATGTGGTACATGTTTATACTTTATGCCCACTACTGATTGGAACCCCTTTTTTTGTCAGGACCAACGTACTGTCAATGACCTCATACCACTTCTAGCTGCCCTGGAGGCACAATGAGCTTGATGCGGTGGTTGGTTCCTCATCGGCCGGCCATGTTTGTTGCATTGCCTTGTCTCACAGACCATATTTCTCTTAATTAGCGTCAAGTCGCACTTGAATTTGGGTTGGTGTGGTTCAGATACTTTTATGTCATGGTTGGTCATGCTTTGCCCCGTGTGATGTACGGGCTCGATACGTTTGAGATGTACCTTTTATGCATGCATGGTTCGTGATACACTAATGTGGTTGAACTATGGTTTGGTCTACTTATTATCTACCTTGGTTGTCGACATGGCTCTTGTGTGCTGTGATGGTCATGCTATCTAATTTTGCTATTTATGTGTGTGTGTGCGCGCACGCGTGCATATATGTGCTTGTAATGTGTGTGTGTGTTTTGAGAGCTTTTGGCACATGGGAAACTCTGCTGAAAATTTTAGCCTGTTTAAACAAGATGGAAAAGAGTCAAATCTACCTATTGGACTTAGCAAGATTACCTCGGAGATAAGAGAATAAAGAACAACAGAGAAGGAGTCGATTGGCAAATGCTAACACTCAAGAGAAAATTCAAGTAGGATAAGGGCGTCACACTCTCGTGCTTACTTGTGGCTAATTAACATCCATACAGACTACAGTTACTTCCCCACTTAAGCACTTTCACTCACCTTGCTCGCCTCCTTGGGTGATACAACACCTGCAATGCCACCCTAGGCCCTGTTCGTTTCTCTTATAATCCGTATTTTTCAGCTTGTTTTTTTAGTCGGAACAATATTTTTCTCTCACAACAAATCAGCCAGAACAATGTTTCGGCTTGTTTTTTCAGCGAAGCAAACGAGGCCTTAGGCAAACGGTTGTTGTGTTAAGGAGGCCACCTTATACTCCACAGAGAAACGGTGGCTATATTAACGAGGGAGAGCTAGTGGTAATGAGTCAATGTAAAATTTATGCTTTAACACTTGCAGATTGCAACAGTTACAACTAGCCGACACTACCAAAATTTGCCTCTGCAACCACTGAGTGAGGCAGGAGAGCATTATTACAGGATACAACGTCATATTTTATTCTTGTTAGTGCAATCAAGCTATAACGTGGGTTTTGATGTTGATGACCACATAATTAGAGAACTAATAAGATTTATTAAGATGACAAGCAGCGAATCCATTATAGAGGATGTCACATGGAAAGGAGGAGCCCCCAATTACAAATAAGGACAGCATCGCGCTCAAAGGAGTTTTGAATTCTTTTGTCTTTTGTTGAGTGTGGGAAAAGCCATACTATAAAGGAAGACACTACAACTGATTAAAAGTGTGCAACCAAATGCTCAATCTTTACATCAAAAAATCCTCACACATCAGCCAAGACAGCCAACTTAATAACTCCTTCACCCTTGCTGTCTTGCTGGATGCGGCAGTGCCGCACCTGGAGAGCGGCACTGCCGCACTTAGGGCGGTACTGCCGCACTTAAGTAACCGTTGGGAGGCAAGGGGGTATTTATACTTTTCCTGTCCTCCATAACGTCTCTCTCCTCTTCCCCAACAGTTCAGACCGACGAAAATCAGCAGATGCTCATCTCCTCTCTCCTCCATTGGTGCACTTTAAGTTCTCAAGCTTTCCCTTTGATTTCCCCATCAATCCTTGAGAGAAAAAGGTGCTAAAAGTGATTAGAGAGCAGCTCCACTGATTCTCAAAGCCTAAAGAGCATTTGATTCACGTTTTGGGCGGTGGTTGTGTTTGTTACTCTTGGAGCTTGGCTCCTAGCCGGCTAGAGCGTCGCCCAGTGAACTTGCCAAGTTTGTGGCAGCCCCGGGAGGTTTGTAACCACCTCTTGCAGCAAGTAAAATCATCCCTCATCTCAAGAATTCACTCTCTTGACTTGAAAACGAGGTAAGGTTGCAAAGCCCTAAGCCTTAGTGGTATACCTCAACAACGTGGACTTAGGCAAGTCTTGGTGGCGAGCTGAACCAGAGGATAAATCCTTGTATCATCTTGTGCTTGTGTTGCTACACTTGTGTTCTTGTTGTTGTTGAGGTGATTTCTAGGGTTTGACGTTGATCTACTTGTGTGTGGTATTTCCACCACTTTCAGATGTCGATCTGTGATCTACTACCCTGCAGGAAGCTAAGAAATTTACCCGATCTAAATTTCGTTGGGTAGATTTTAAACTGTGAACTAATCTCTCTCCTGTGAGTGCGGCAGTTGTGCACTGTTTTGTCTGCGATAACGCCATTGTGAGGGCATTGGTGTGCTCACAGAGCGGCAAAGATCTGCATGATGAATTTGACTTTGGTTTGAGTTGAATTTTTACAGGCCTATTCACCCCCCTCCCTCTAGGCATACCAGAAATCCTACAAGTGGTATTGGAGCGGGTTACCTCATGTGCGCTTCACCGTGTGAGGTATGGAGCCCGAGGGAGGATCCGGGGTTGTGAAGCTCATCAACGTTGATCTGGAGGACGTTGGGCTGCATGACACCGACAACAGTGAGCTTAGCGTCTCTATAGCGAGCAACTCCACGCTCCCACAGCTAGAGGCAACCAATGCCGAAAAAGCTCAAAATGAAGAAGAAAGAAGAAGAAGAAGAAGAAGAAGAAGAAGAGCAGCTAGAAAAGAGAAACAAGAGAGAAAAAGAAGAAGGAGTAGCAGTGGTTAGAAGAGAAGAAAGCAAGAAAAGAAGAAAGAAGACTCAAGAGAGAAGCTAGAAGAAAAAGAAGAGAAGCAAGAAAGAAGAAGGAACAAGAAGCAAAAGCCTCTAATGCATCTTCAAGTGAGCTATCTAGCAGCTCCGAAGATGGTGATGATGATGAATCCTACCAAGTGCATAGCAAGAAGGATAAGAAAGGAAAGGGCAAGAAGAATGACGATAACAAATATGCCACCGTATCCTTTAACTATTCTTTTATGTCTATGACTAACCATGATCGCAAGTCTTTCATCAATGTGCCGTGGGCAAGTTACCTTATTTCGATGGGACTAACTTTACCAAGTGGAAGCACTTGATGAGAGCCTATCTTATAGGTCTTCATCCCGGCATTTGGGAGGTTGTTTACAATGGATTTGAGCCACCGGTTGATCCCAAGAATTCAACCATGGATGAAATGAGAATCATCCACCTCAATGGGCAAGCTACTAGTGTGCTACTTAGTGCCTTAGATGGTGATGAGTATAATAGAGTGATTGGTGTGGATGTTGCCAAGCAAATTCGGGATACTTTGCATCTTGCACATGAAGGGGTTGACAAAGTGAGAAAGACAAGAATTGATTTATTGATGTCCAAGCTCAACTGATTTGTTATCTTGGATGGAGAAGGGCCATAAGAGATGTTTAATAGGTTGATGGCCATGGTGGGCAAGATTAGAGGCTATGGTTGTGATGAGCTAGATGATCATAAAGTTGTCAAGATTATGTTGAAAGCTTATCCACCAAGAAATGAAACCGTAGTAACTCTAATTAGAGACAAGAAAAGTTTGAGTACTTCACACCAAATAATGTACTTGGGAGGATCTTGACCTTTAACATGCAAAAAGAAGAAGCAAATGAGAGGAAGAAGCTTAGAGAATTGCAAGCAAAGCTAGAAGGCATCAAGATCAATAAGGATATAGCTCTCAAGACCAACAAATCAAGCAAGCAAGACTCTACTAGCAAGTCCAAGACCAATAAGCAAGCTTCAATTAGCAAGCCTAAAGAAATCAAGCAAGTTCAAGAAAGAGTAGAGACCACCTCATTCTCTAGTGAGAGTGAACATGATGATGACCAATATGAGAAAGTGAATGATGTTGCTCTCTTTATGAGGAGGTTTCACAAAGGGTTGAAGAAGCAAGGATACAAGGTAGTAAAGAGGAAGTTTCCAAACAAGAAGAAGAGGACATGATATAATTGTGGAAGCACCGATCACTTTATTGTCAAGTGCCCACATGAGATCAAGGAGAACAAGTATAAGAAAGAGAAGGAGGACAAGGCCGATCGGAGAAAGAGCAAGAAAAATATGGGAGAAGCTCACATTGGGTATGAATGGGATTCATCTATTGAAAGCTCAAGTGAAGAAGATGAGAAAGTTGCAACCATTGTTATCCATGAGCCATCTTCTTCACCAAGACTCTTCACCTACATGTCCAATGATGACTACTACTCCCCTCACATTTGTCTTATGGCAAAGGGTGAGAAGGTAAAATCTAAATCCAAGGCCAAAGCTCCTCCACCTCCACCTCCTAGTGATATCTCTAGTAGTGATATTAGTGATAGATCTAGTGATGATAAATCTAGTGATGAAGAAATTGATAAATTAACTAAGAACTTAGATGAAAATACCAAACTATTCATCACTAAACTAATGGAGGACTTAGAGAGTGTCCAAACCGAGCTAGAATCTAGAGAGAAAACTCTTATTCAACAAGAGGATCTCTATATTGCTAGCAAGGAAACTCTTGTATTAAAGAGAAGTGGGGTGGAATCCTTGCACAAGGCCTTGCCCAAAGAACAAGCGGACCGTGCTATCACAAAGAAAGAAAATATTGCTCTCAAGAAAAAGTATTGTGACTTAGATAAAAAGCACAAAGAAGTTGAGCTGCAATATAATATTCTTTGGGATAGCAACTCACATCCCTCTAATGCAAATGATGCCTCTACTACCTCCACTAGTCAAGGTTGTAGAAAATGTTATAATATTGATTTGAATACTTATTCCACTAACCTTGTAAACATGGAAGCAATGAGAAAAGAAATTGCTAGACTCAATGAGATCATTGGCAAGGGCTGCTTGAGTGGTAAGGCTTAAGTAAGTGAAAAGAAGGCAAATGACTCAAAAGTACCTCAATTCAAGCAAGAGAGACACCCCTCAATCAAGCATGGGCTTGGGCACACTGCAGGAGCCAAGACAAATAGAAGAAAGATCATAAATGGCTATGAGTGTGTCAAGTTTGAGAGAAAAAAAAGAGTCGGTACAGATCACGGCACTGCCACAGTGAAGGCCGGCTATGCCGCTCCCCGCAAAAATGGGAAGGCTACCGATTCTGCTCCTGATCAAAC